ACTACCATAGGTAGTACTAAAAAGACAGTAGTACAGAAACAATAGGTCGACTATTCTACTCTTGGCTTCGAATGATCGGACGTACCTCCCACATCCACTATGTATATTCCATGCGTGTAGGGCTTCAAAAGATCACTATTAAATTTGGTACAGATCTCTAAAAAAGTCCTGTCTTACATTTATGTGATAATTTTTTTATAGATTTGTGCTAAATTTAATGATGATCTTTTAAGGTTCTACACACACGAGTGTGGTAGGGTCTCATAGGATTATTATTCATATATATATATATATATATATATATATTTCCTTCTAATTTTGTCTTGGATGAGAATGTTACCTTGATAAGAATCGAGTTGTGGATGGAACTTGGTAAAGCTATAAACGGGGGAGTTAGTGGGAGTGTTTGAATTTGAAGATAATATATTTTCCATTAGGCGTTGCCTATGAATAACCATTAAATATTAATTTTCCGAAAATGATGGTACCCTAGTATAAGGGTCCTGCAAATGGAGGCGTTTGTTGAAACTGTTGGGGTTTGTCTCTATCTTGGTTCAAACATGAGGAAGGGCTTAAGGGTCCAGTCTTCCAACCAACCAACCTCAAGTTCAATTGAAGGTAGGGAGGTGATATTTGCTTATGGATTGACCTTTTTTAATATTTAAACTCGGTTACTGAAACGGGACTATTTGGATGGCTTTGAGTGATACTCAGGGTATGCAAATCTCGTCTTGTTTTGCTAGTAGGGGTTATTTGGTATGCATGAAAGTTCAACATGATAATATTTACAGAAGAAATATTTATATATGCATGAAAAAATTAAAATTACTGAAGCAGACTTTTCCCATGGTAGATAAACACAGTTGGAAACACGCAAAGAGAGCACATCAAACTTTGAAATTTTGAGATATTTTTTCTAAAATTTTTGAAATAGCTTATCACTCTAAAATTTAAAATATGATATAGTTTCTCTATCTAAAAATTTGGAGATGGCTCTATCTAAAAATTTGAAATTTAAGATAGCTTCTCTCTCTAAAAACTTTTAGCCAGTTTCTCTCTAAAGAATTGAGGTAGTTTTTCTCTCTAAAATTTTAAGATACTTTCTATCTCTAAATGTTAAAATTTTAAATAGTTTTCCTATCTAAATAATTTGTGATAATTTATCTTTAAAATTTTTTAAGTAATTTTTTTTTAAAATTTGATATAGTTTTTCTCTAAAATTTTAAGATACTCTCTCTCTCTAAAACATAGAATTTTAGATAGTTTATCTCTTTAAAATTTTTGAGATAGTTTCTCACTTAATTTTTAAAGTAGCTGTTTGCTAAAATTTTTTGAAATTTTAAGATACTTCCTCTCTCTAAAACTTAAAAATTGAGATAGTTTATCTCTTTAAAATTTTTAAGATAGTTTCTCTCTCTAAAAAGTTTTAAATAATTTCTCTCTTTAAAGTTTAAGATACTTCTTTAAAAATTAAAATTTGAGATAGTTTTTTTCTCTAAACATTTTGAGATAATTTCTCTCTAAAATTTGATGTAGCTTTTCTATAATTTTAAGATGCTTTTTCTCTCTAAAAATTTAAATTTAAGATAGTTTCTCTTTCTAATTTTTTTTGAGATAGTTTATTTGTCCAAATGTTTTTCGGAAGTTTCTCTCTAAAATTTGATATATTCTCTCTTTAAAATTTTAAGATATTTTTTCTGTCTAAAAAGTAAATTTTTTAATAGTTTCTCTCTCTAAAAATTAAGTTTTTTGATAGTTTCTCTTTATAAAATTTTTCTCTAAAAATTAAAAGTTTTGACATAGTTTTTCTCTTTAAGGAATTTTAGATAGCTTCTCTCTTTGAAAATTTGATATAGTTTCTCTCTCTAAAAATTTTAGGCAATTTCTCTCTCTAAAAATTTAAGATGCTTACTCTCTCTAAAATTAGAATTTGATATATTTTCTCTCTCAAAAATTTTAAGATATTATCTCTTTCTAAAACTTGAAATTTGAGATAATATCTCTCTAATTTGTGGAGGTGTTTTGGCAGAATTAGTTGTATATTTGATAAAGTGTGTGGCTCAGTTGTGTGAAAATAATAATAATAATAATAATAATAATAATAACAATAATAATAATAATAATAGTAATAATAATAATAATAACAATAATAATAATAATAATAATAATAATAATAATAATAATAATAATAATAAAATAATAATAATAATAATAAAAATAAAAGTAATAATAATAATAAAAGTAATAATAAAAATAAATAATAAAGTATTATTATTTAATATATATTAATGTGATACCATTATACATGTTATTATATCATTATGACTCTCATTATTAATATATACCATTTTTGTTTTTACAATAATATCGTATTACTAATATATTATATTCTCTCTTTGATGCTTACACAAAGTCATGTTCAAGCCCAATTAACATACACTGTCCATTTTGTTAAGAGGCTTAGATCTAAGCTTTAGAAGGAGTTTTTCTCTTATCGAAATTTTTAGATCGCTTTGTGATCATTAGATGAACGTTGTTGAAAAAGAAAAAATGGTTTTGAGCTTGTAAAGGCTTAGATCTTCAAATTTATCAAATTGACGGTCTAGATTCATTGTTGGAAGAAAACTTATTTTAACTTAGGATACAAATTAAATTTTATTTTTTAAAAATTAATTATTGGATGAAGATAAAGGGCATGTCTAATTTTTGGGTCATAGCTATAAATATGATTTTATATAAGTGTGGAAATCATTGCCCTAAAATAATACATCTCCTAATGTTTAATTTTTGATATAAATCACATGCTCTATATCTGTATCACCGCCCAGCTTTAAGATTTGACACTAGAATTGACCTAAAATGACACGAATACCCTCTCCACTGGCCCCTATATATACAACATGGTATTTCACCTCCCAAGCGACTTCTAGGGTTTATGAGGCACCTCTCATTCTGGGGTTTGTTCCCAGTTTTTCATCACAATTCATGTTTTCATGGTGTGATTAGGGTTTACATTTCCTAGGTTTATAGGGTTTACATTTCCTTGTTTCTCTACAACTCTTGGTCCAAAATTAGGTTTATCTCGTTTCTTTTCTTTTTTATATTTGTTCATATGTAAAGGGTTATCTCCATTGTCTGATCATTCGTATGGTCTGATAAATCGATGTCCTCTGAAACACAAAAATCTTTTTTTGTAGTGAAATTTATGTTACTTTGGGTAATTTTTCAGGCAGCCTCTATGCGTGATTTAATCGCATATGAAGGTGTTATTTTGCCCATAAATTAATGTCTCTTGCTCTTCTGATTTGCTGAGAAGAATAGTATTCTTCTTTGAAGCCGGTCTAGTAAGCCTAAGTACATACAATTACTGATTGTTTTATATTTTTCCCTTCAATTATTCTATTATTACATTCATCATATTTGTTTTTTTATTTTTTCTTTTTTTATACCACTTAGATTCAATGGAAAATAGATGAAAAATGCGAAGAAGGATTACCATTATTTACAAAGTGCAGAAGATCTCGAATGGTTGATAGATGGAAGGAACGGATTCGGGATGTGCCGCGTTATCTTGAATCTGAACCGTCGAGTGAGATGAGTAGCAGTAGTTTGAGTCTTTTTAAATTTATAAGGGGCGATTCAGATTCAATGGCACATAGATCTGGATCGCGAAAAGACATCTTCCCTGTATATTTAGGAAACTAATTTAAATCAAAAGCCAGGGATTTGTGGAATTTGCTTGTTACATTCAATTTTTTGTGTATTACATATATACCCGTTCTTATAAATCCTATTTTTTTTTGTTTGAAATGAACATTTGATATCTGAAATGGTGGATTTCCTGATCTTGAAGCATAGTCGGGGCTTTTTTTATTATTCGCACAAAAACTTTTGGATTTTCAATATTCTACTTTAACGAAACTACAGAATCCTCGGTGGGAAAATGCAACTCTTGGCAGGAAAATTCAATTCTCGAAAGGGAAAATGCCACTCTAGGCAGGAAAATGCAATTCTCGAATTGTGAAACAATTTAAGAACCGGGTTTCCATGCGGCCAAGCCCGCATATGTAGAAGTACGGGCCTTTTAATAAATCTATTTTTGATATGGATTTTTGGACTTAATTTTTAAGGACATATAATCTCTAACATAGAAATCATGAATATGAAAAAATAAATAAGAAATAATAATCTTAGTAAGAAAACATTTAGACAGTTAGTTTTCCATTCTTTTATTGTTTTTAAATGAAACACTTACTTCGATCATCTTAAAGATAGATATTGCTTATGTAGTTTTGCAATCCAACCTGTATGAAACAATTTTCCAAAATTTAATCATAAAGTAAATTTTAGTTTTTTGAAATCACAAAATGCAAATTTTGCAATTTGAAAATCTGTAATTCGTTTTTCATATAAAATTCGGATTTTAAAAACTTGAAATTGTTGGGGCACTAAAATTGAAAATTTTGGATTTTAAAGGTTTGAAAATTGCAGTTTC